TGACAATTCATAATTATTAATGACCAAATTAGTTTTCATCACGTAGGCAGTCAATTTCTGCCCATCTAGGAATTTTTTTCCGAAAAAAAATCTTTCTTAGAAAACTATGACGTCATTTATGACGTCATAATTCTGATGGTGCCATGGTGATGATACAGCCAGTACGTGTTTTGAGGTCAACACACAGAAATAAAAAACAGATTTCATGACAAATTAACATTGGATATGCACTAAAGCTCACAAGTATCGGTACAACAAGATTTACTGTTCTTAATCACTAAGAAAAAAATCAAAACCATTGCAAATTTTAAGAATAATAATAAATAAACTGCTTCAGCAGTGTTTTCTTTATCATAAACAGCTCCAAAAATCATAAAATCTTAATAATGTTTGTAAAGAAAATAAAATTCAAAGTCGCATAAAATAAAGTTACCTAAAACAAAAGGCATATTTTAAAATTTCATTTGCAGCCCCTTCACTGAAAACACTGCATTCAGTTTGTATATTAAAAATTTCATGATGCATTTACATCAAATTTTTGTCTAAAATTCAGAAGGAAAAAAGTACAACAAAACCAGCTTAAATTTACATTAAAACTTACAATAAGTCACTAAAAAATCAACGAAAAATATTTCATCATTCTGATATAAATTCATGCCCAAAAAAAAAGAAAAAAAGGGGGACAAAAAAAATCAGAAACAAAAGCTAATCAACTAGCTTAATTTCTTTGTTGCTATTATTAAAACGTGAGGATAACATGACATAAAACGCACACAAGACCCCAGAAATGATTCTTCCACGAGTTGAGCACTGTCCTGTAAAATATCTATCAATAATAATTAATCATCTCAAAAAAATGTTTATTCACCGGGATAAAAAAGAATCACCACCGCGAGGCAGGTCAAAGGTCACCGTGATTTTTTAAATGTAAACATTTTATTCCCTTGCCCGCCCGCGCGGCTTAGATTTCATATAAACCACTAACAAAGTCAATTTTCAAGGCAAGCAACTCTATATAAACAGGTTCCTGAAACAGATCTCGAAAAGGTCACTCGGATACACCATGATTAAAAGTGACAACACGTGTTTACACTGTCAGCATTGATTCCTTCAGACTATTTACAACATCTAACGCTCTTTGGTTGTCGGCTTCCAAATCAAAACCATGACAAAATTAATGGATTAATTGTCAAATGACTTTTTTCAAAAAAAAAAAGAAAAGAAAAAAAGACAGTAAATGCCCATGATTTTTTTTTTCTCTTATGCAAATTAAATAGAATTTTCTTTCTTGAAAATTTTCCTTGTTTATTTTACTTAAATTTTTGGCAAAATATCAGTAAAGCCTCTTTTCCCTCAAAAAAAAAAAAAAAAACCAGGTTTTAGCTTTACCCAAATGTTATTTCTAACTTATACTTCAGTTAATGTGGTTTCAAGTCATTGGTTGTGTTCATATTGTGTCTCCCTGATATTTTTTGTAACCTGAGCTAATTAAATTGATACTTCTGTACAAACTGGAATATAATAACCTATATCATTAAAAATTCTCTTTGAAAAAAAAAACGATTAATTAGAAACATGTTGGAAATTGTCAAAACACTCGAGAAATTCTTTCTGAAATCAAAGTACTAAAAGTACTGAATGGTCAAATCATTCCAAAAATAAATCTGTAAGAAAAATTAAAATAAATTTTCAAGAGGAACCCATAATGCTTAATTCTCAAGGAAACTTTACACCCAAAGGAGAAAATAATCATGGAACCTTCATAAATGAAAATGTGTTGATTAGTGATTTGAACATAAATTGTATAAGAGATTTTATAATCCAAGATGAACGTGGTTATTCCCCTTGGTTCCAGGGCCCCCTTCACATGTTCAGAATGCATGACCACCATTCCAAAATATAAATGATTTCAAAGATTGTACATGTGCTTGTCTATACAAAAATTTTGCATAATCGCACTTGTTTCTTCACACAACCGGGAAAGAAGAAAATTCTTTTAAATCTTGAAACATGGCCAAGACAAGACGGTTTTGTTTTTTTTTTGGTGCAAATGGCTCTTTAAAAGGAAAAAAAAATTATTAACACACACAAAAAAATCCATACTTTTATGTTTGTATCCTCTCCAATATTTTGTTTGTTTGTTTAAAATTTAGTGAAGTTGTCTAGATCCCTCTTGCTCGCAGTAAGAAATAATGAACGCTCCCTGAGAAATCTGTGTCGAGCAAAAGGCATCTTGAGGTAGTCGTTTAGAGGTTACCATGGTAACATGTTAGGAGGTCACTATGGTTACAACATGGTCTGTGTATTAACAGTGCAGGGGGAAAAAAAGCAATATCATTATATAAATGTCGTACAATGAAATTCACAGGGCTTGATTTTTTTTCCTTCCCTTTTCACAGAACAGTTTTCTTTTGTTCCAACAATATTTGAGGTCAGAACACACAATAGCATTGATAACCAGAGGACACATCGGTAATAACTAGGTACATTAAAGAGAGAGAGAAACAGTCATTTAAAATATAAGAACATTTTGTGAGGGGTTAAAAAAAATGTTGGTTTTTTGGGACATGACACTGAAACATGTTACAATGAATATTTATACAAATGAGAGGATTCCCTTCCATGAATAGCTCGGCTCACCCTATATTTATATATATCTGTATATAGTCACAACCTGTAGAACCGAATTAATCGCCAATCAACATGTATCAACAGTAATTATTTATAGGAGGAGTCAGTTGTAAGCCATCTCATCTTTCTTGACCAAGGAAAAATTTCGTTTTGTTATTAGCTTAATTTTACCACTTAATGAAGTTTTCTATCACTAATTAAACATTTAATGAAATTTCCCATTTTCCCCTCCACTCCAATTTTTTGAAGAGCAGAAAAAATTCTTCAAGAAAGCAAAAAAAATAACAGTAAAAATACAGTTGCCTACTCTAAAAGGGTCAGAAAAAAAGAAAAGAAAAACAATATTTTAATACACCGGATGTATTCATCGCAGATCTTTTCAAATCTGGACTCAGCCCACAAAATCAGGACCAGATTCTTCAAATCCGGACCCAGTTGTAAACACCTGGAACTGACCCTCAAATCTGGACCCAATCTGTAGCTGGATCTGCACCACTAGTACCCTGCACCAACTTAAGCCTCGATTTCATTTCCTATCTGAACCAACCATCACTCAGGATGGAAACCATTTTGCCTAACGCTGATGGAAATTTCCAAGCAAAAAAAGAAAAAAATTCAAATCTGACGATTATGATCCAAGGAACCTTTACGGGTTTTGGGGGGAGATTTTTACTGCAACTAACTAATAACTGGATTAGAGTATTCAGTTTTGAAAATGGTTTGATTTTGAAAGATTGAAAAGAGTTGGTCCAAAAAACACCAAAAAAAGAATATCTTATAAGAAGGTTTGATAATAAATTTCACCCCAAATCTACCAATAGCAAAACTTTGTAAAATCAAATTTTGCACCCAGAATAGGGATACATGTATCACACAATACAAAATGTAAAAAAAAAAAAGGCTTACAATGAAAAAATCATCAGATCTCATTAAAAAAAATATTCAATAAAATACAATAAAGTAATAAGTTTAGAATTCATATATAATATGTTTAAATAGCACTTATATGCATTTAAAATTAGCACTAATTCATCTTGCCTTAGGCAGACATCAAAACAGATCTATGTATTCAAAAAAAGAAACAACTTTCTTTCTAATTCCATGAATCAAAAAAAAAAACATTTCATACAGAAAATTAAAACCATCTCATCTGAAAAAAAATTAATAAGTTTTTTCTTATCTACATTGGAATTTAAAAAGCAATGCTTGTTTCATAATATTTCATGTAACACAAACAATTTTCTGCTTAAAGGAAAGAAGGGAAAAAAATTATAAAAATTTCTCACAACTCATAGGTTAAAATATCAATGCCTCTAACAAAACTGGGACCCAATCTCTCTTTTAAATTGTCTTGGGTCTGTTTTCCCCAATAACTGCCAATAAAAATTTGTCTTGGTCAACATTTTTTTTTTGAGACTGAAAACTGGCAGATCTGTCCTTTATACATCCAACTTCTGTTTCTTTTGACAAAAGCCAAAAAATTAAATACTCTGAAAAAATTTATAACTATTTTTGGCATAAAGAAATAAACTATTTCCTACCATTTACATTAAAACTGACTTTGGCCAAAACAGAGATATTCACTTTTGTTATACCCTTATAAATATCATTCTATATATTTATTACTTATAAAAAGTCCAACAAAAGAACTGTTTATTACGTCGGTCTAACAATTTCACTATTGACCGGTCTTACATAAGAATTGTTAGACAACGTTCTCGTCTGTTACGTCACAATTAATTAATCATCGTGAAATATCGGCGACGCGAAAATAACCGAAGTTAAGAGCTACAAGAGTTGTTGCTAACAGCTAGATAAGGAAGAAGTGAAGAGTTTATTTTGTGATAAATAATTTTTGTGATACAATAGATATATAATTGATTTTTTCTTTCTCAGCTTGATGTTTTATATTTACTGAAGAAGCCATAATTTTCCATACAAAATAATTGATAATATAGCGTGTATTTATTAAATTGATCACTCTTAAGTGAGCAGTGAAGGGTATAACAAAACAGTTATAGACTGGGATTCGGGCAACATATGATTTGTTGGACCTGAAGGTGAAAATGTTGCCCTTGGCCTGCGGCCTCGGGCAACATTTTCACCTTCAGGTCCAACAAATCATATGTTGCCCTCATACCCAGTCAATAACTGTATAATGTAAATTAACAACAAAGAACTCCTCTAGATAACAATTCCTAAACATAAACATAATGAATATGCATGACCAAGAATCATGAATATGCATAATCAGTCATGAATATGCATGACCAAGAAACTTATGATAAAAATAGGAGGGGGGTCGTAGTTTGAGATTGTCCCATAAAACCGGTGTAAGGGGGGGAGATATATCAATGTAATAATTTAGCAGATCAGTGAGGTAAACTTGTAAGATAAATCCATCTGTTTTTTTTTTCTTCAAAAAATAGTACAGGCAAACACACCAATATAAACTTACAAAAAGAACAAAAAGAAAATGCTAGCTAGCCAGGGGCCACCAAAGGGGGGTTTGAAACAAATAAAAATCATAATATTCCTGACCTGTATTTCACATGTAGAAAATAAAGCAACAAAAAAAAAATCCTCCAGCTTTTTCCCCCTTCAGAGCCCCATAATTACACCCGTATAGTATGAACATAAACAATTAAAAACAAATACATAATTTCACTTCTTCATGAAATGTCAATATCATTTAGCTGCAAATATCCTGCCTGAAAGTTCAGCTCATTTTTTCTGAGCCCGTTTTTTTTTTCAATGAGAAGTAGAAAACAAAATTTCTATACACTCACATCCACAGTACGGCGATGATGACCCTTGTCGCTGGGATAACTCCCCACCCCCCGACTCTCTCTGGAGGGCTGTCTCCGATTCCGACCCTTTCCCTGACCGGTAAGATTCCGTTCCTGAGATGAGCTTGGTTTTGTATGACACTTCACGTGGGGACTTTGGAGGTTGGTGTACGAGGGGTCACTGCCACAGTCACTCTCTGGAAAGGACTGCCGTTGGTTTGGGCCCTCTTCAGCCTTTCTCCCCTGCTGCTGTCTTCCCTGATGTAGCTTGTGAGGTTTTGATGAGTGGGAGGGACTCTTCCCCACCCTCTCCACTCCATCCCGTGAGGTAGCTGGCTTACTGTGTACTCCCCTGAGTGTGGGAGGAGACACGCCCTCCTCCCTGTGACCCGTTTTAGCTGCGGCTGATCGGTTCGAGGTATTTTTAGTAAAACTGTCCATTGACTGTGGGCTGACTTCACTGCAGACCGCATCTGCTGTGTTTGGAGGTAGATTTGGTATGGAACCATCTTGGTCATTTAAACTCTTGTTGCTTTCTTCTGTGTCCTCTAGACTCTTGTCTATTCCGTCCAGCAGGGAGTCTCGGTCCGGGGCTTTGTCAAGGGGCGTGGCCTCCTCTGACAGGTGGCTGACGTCACTTCCTGACAACATGGCGGCTATCAGACCCCGCCTCTCCTACGGAAAACAAACGTTCAATTTAGGCACGATACAAAAATTTAGTATCAAATTCACATTAATTTCATGTGAATTCTTTGCATGAGAAAGAGACAAAAACAGGAGAGTTAAAAGGACAAGATGGGCTAAGATCCTTTTTTGGCCCCTGGTTTGGGGTCTCTTTTAAAAAGATGCAATAGTTTATCATTTAAGAACCTGTTATCACCCCTGCCAAAAAATGAGCATTGGTTCTAAGTTATGGGATACACAGAAGTAACAGGAAGGTCAGAAAATGTGTCATGGTACAAAGGCAAAAGTGACTTGCATAAATTTTTGTATCAAAATCACACGAATTTCATGTGAATTCCTTCCATGAGAAAGAGATTAAAATAAGACAGGTAAAATTTATGTGAAAAGTTCATGCCATTTTGCCATAATTATCATATTAATTGTACAGGAAGAGCACATCGCATAAATATTGGTCAAAGAAAAATTTACTTGACAGTGCTAAAAAAAATATGGGAATATCATACAAACCAATTTACATGATATTAGTTTTAGAAATTACTTATATATTTTTTAAATATCTAAAAACATACATGAGTGGAATTTTTATCAGAATGCAAATTTAATACAAAGAACACATACCTCCATGTTCCCCGAGTTAGCATACCCCACAAACGTGGACATGTGTCCATTAGGGATATGCCCATTCTTCATGCCATTCTTAAATGGCACATATCCGTTGACCCGTGACCCATTCGGGGTCACGATGATGTTCCCACTGCCACATCCCTACAAAGAAACAGCATTATTCATTACTATTTTGGCAAGATTTTTTTCATTTTATAGTTTACATTCTAAACTTCAGTGTAAGAAACAAGGAATTTTCGTACTAGGAAATCTCAAACTGGAGGTTTAACTGCTTGTTTTCACCAAGAAAAAAGCTCATCATTGGCATACATTTCAATTCATTTAGCCCTACCCCTATCACCGGTCCCCCCCCCCCCCCAACAAATTTGCATTACAGTACACACAAACCTTGGAATCTGAGTGCTCGTTTTCACCGGGTAATGAGCTCAACATTGGCGTACACGTCTCGAGCTGATACTCGTTCAGCCCCGCCCCTATCACATGTCCGTTGCCCCGCCCACCTGCGTGTCCGTTACTGTGAAGATATACAGGCTGGGTTATATGGGACTGTGGGGAGGCAAAACATCTACAACAGAAAAGTACTCACAACTGAAAATTTGATTTTCATCAGAGTAGACTGATTAAAGATCTACAGTACAGTCCCAAGTTGAGTTATTGTGTTCTACAGTACAGTCCTAAGGTGAATTATTGTGTTCTACAGTGCAGTCCTAAGTTGAATTATTGTGTTCTACAGTCAATCCTAAGTTGAATTATTGTGTTCTACAGTACAGTCCTAAGTTGACTGATTGAGATCTACAGTACAGTCCTAAATTGACTATGATGTACAGTACAGTTCTAAGTTGACTAACTTGTTTCTACACAGTATGATGAGGATACTGATCTACAGTACCTGTTCCTACACAGTACCGTAAATCTGAAAATTTTTCCTGTAGATAAATTTCAGCAAATTTGCGAGTTCATTGCATTCGCAAAAATATTTTTCTTAAAAATAAATTACCAATAAGAAAATGTCAACAAAGCAGTGGTTATTCGCAAAATTTTAAAACGTAAAAATTAATCAACACCATTTTGACACGAGTTCGCAAAATAAAATCAACGTAAAAATTTCCAGATTTACGGTATGATGATAGAGATCTACAGTACAGTCCTAAGTTGACTTACTTGTTCCTACACAGTATGATTAGGATACAGATCTACAGTACAGTCCTAAGTTGACTGATATTGATCTACAGTACAGTCCTTAATTGACTTACTATGATCTACAGTACGGTCCCAATTTGACTTACCTGTTCCTACACAGTATGATGAGGATACAGATGATGACACAGGCCACACCTATACTGATCCCCAGAATTATCCCCAATTTCTGATCCTCCTGGGGCGCCGCTTCACGGGGCTCTGTAATTAATTAAATGAATTAATTAGCAGAACTACTTCTGGGATAAACCTATTTTATTAATCAGACAAAAAATATTTTCACAAAATATTAGGGGTCGGACGATATACCGATACACCGATATTTTCTTCTATGATACGCTTTACGATACGTGCAATAAAATATCGGAATGAAACTATATACAAACGACCTACCAAAAAAAAGAAAATGAAAGTAGTTGTCCTTGGAAAATGGCTGCTTGTACGAAACAAAGAGATGATATTGATATTGAAAACACACTTTAGAACTAATAAGTCATAGATAAGGGGTAACTCATATTTATTTTTAAGCATCCTTGGAAGATAGGATAAGAAAAGTTCAGCATGTAAAGCATGTTAAACACAGAAAGTATCATTTCCACAACAGTTGATGTTATATAAATATTGCATGTAGTTGAAAATTTTAACCCCTCGAAAACCATTGTCAACCGAGGCAAAGCCGAGGTTGACAATGGTTTTCAAGGGGTGAAAATTTTCAATGTTACACTCAACTACATGCAATATTTATTATATTATATTGAATGTTATATACAAATACATATAACAGTGAACCGTGCGCGCATAAATTCTGCGCAATCGCTATTTTTTGGACTATCACCCGTCGTCAAGCACTGTTGACTGTTGATACGCTGGAGGGCGTGGCTTCATTTTTCAGATTGTAATAGTGTTTTTAAACTAATGCTTCTCGACCAATCAGATTCAACTAATTTACATGATAGTATATTAATATTATTGTTCGTCCATCTGGAATCAACAGCTCGTATCGAAGCACAGACTCTCTAATTTCAAGAATTTTAAATTTTAAAACAATTTTGCTTTATTATTTTTTTTTATAAAATTAACTTGATTACAAATTTTCAGCTTTTTAAAATAAATTTTTTAGTCAGTGTTGTTGTAATCAACTTGTTTATAGACATTTGTCAAATGAATAGGTACAAATTATTGCTTTTGTAAATTTCTAGTCAAAGAAATTGATGAACTTCAAATATTAATTTCAAAGCACATGATTTGATATATAGAATATTTGTTGATTTTAAGTCAAAACAGAAAATTAATAAAATACAAAGTTTTTTTTTCAAAATAGTCTAAGTTTTATTATTTATCATAATATGGAGATATGTATCGTATCGTGTTAAATTTTTGAGATATGTTTTGTATCGCAAGATCTGTGTATCGTCCCACCCCAACAAAATATATATTTATTTTTTTTTACCATATATACAGTATAACACATACACAAATAAGTGCAAGAGACAGACTATTTTGCTTCGTAATATATGTACTTTGTTAAATACCAATATGTCTGTTTACTTCATATTTTTGTATTTTAGTTACAGCTAAGGAAAAACAGAATCATTTCACTATATTCATTAATTGACTTAAAGTGTGTTTCAGAATAAGCGTGTGTGACTTTTCAACAAGAAATGTTCCAAGAAAGATTTTTTTTTTCAAAATGGATCCAATCAAATGATTATCATGGGTATTTTTTTTTATGATGGTTTCTGATTGGTTTAGCTTACCTTTTGTTTGTATTTCGGAGATTTCCATTGGATCAGTGGGCGGGCCTGGACCAGCATTTGTACACGCCTTCAGTTTGATCCTGTACAATCCATTCTGGAGTTGTTCAATAGTGGCTGAAGTTAAGGATCCTACAAAGTAACCAGGTTCATTTTATACATAGAAACATGTGTAAATAATGTATACATGGAAATTTTTGCCCCTATTGTATTTTCGCCCCTTTCGCCCTCTTCATGGCCAGGTAAAATTAAAATAGGGCGAAATCAAAGAAAACAACATATTAATTACTTTAGCAGTACATGTTGACTGGGCAATTTTTAAATGAGGCAAAATTGTGCTCAGTTGCATAAGGTTGAAAATAACACAGGCAAAAATAACCCTGTATACAGTATATCAACAAGCATTCTGATAATATTGCATAAGCAATACTTCTTCCCTATCCAAAAGTGCAATCTAATTCCAAATAAATATTGAAAAGCATCAATTCCTTCAAAAATCAAGTGATCTCTGTAATTCTACACAAGAAAAGATTATACACAGACAGATGGACCCTCAGTGGACAATTTAAAACATCCTACCAATGAAAACTTCCATCAACACAAGAACTCACCGTTAACACTCTTGATTTCCCAGGGACTGGACATGTCGTGAGCGGTCAGTATCTGGTACATGACGAGGTAGGTGGTGATGTTCCCGTTAGGCTGAGCGGGCGGCTTCCAGGTGATCAAGATGCGGCTCTCCTTCACCTGACCCTGCAGCTCACGCGGCTCCGAGGGAACTGAAAATTATAGGGTCATTTCATTAATTATTGTATGGCATAATGTGGAAAATATTTCATCTCCCCCATACTATTGTTGTGTTCTGTGCATTATATTTGGCAGAAATTGATTTTTCAGCAAGTTAGTGTAGTTTTGATTAAGCACTTTAAGGTACAGTTAGCGGGCGGCTGGCGGTATAACGAATTTGGCTGAATCCTTCACCTGACCCTGCAGCTCACGTGGCTGTATATAAAAACATACATGTATTTCTGGGAATTTTTTTAATGTACTGAAAATTGTGCAGTATGGGTCATTTCATTAATTATTGTATATATTGGCATAATGTATTGTTTATGGCAACATTGTTAATTAAACATTCACAATTTATACCGTATAATTATTTTTTCAGCAATCTTTGCATTGTTTAAAGCATAGATCATCTAAATAATATAGTTATCGGCGTAGTTTAACAACGACCACTTTCATGGCAAAGCCGTGACTAAATGAATTTTATTAAACATAAAACAAAATTATTATAACAGTTCATGTTAAAATTATTGTTCATTTAGTTCTTGTTTAATTACTTATTGTTGTGTTCTGTGCATTATATTTGGCAGAAATTGATTTTTCAGCAAGTTAGTGTAGTTTTGATTAAGCACTTTAAGAATGTACTTTATATGAATGTATATATACACAAGGCATGTAGACATGTACTTGTACTTAATTAGAGGAGGGTGCTTTCTGCAAAAGGCCCTTAATAGAATATATAGCCAAATGTTACATGTTTACAATAACTTTTGAACAGGAATGGCAAAGACTTCGTGAAAGGAGACTACTTTCAGCATTTGATATCTTGTATTGAGAAAGCTCTAAACACTGCATACAGAATTCTCATTCAAATGCTCTGCAGATTTATCCAGTTTTATGATCTATCCTTTCATTTTAAGGGATACTTCCAGCATTCTAGAATGTTTCATTTCAATGCTCTGAAAACTGTTTTCATTAAGTAAAGAAAATAAGAAATATGAAATGTCTTTTCAGTTTCAAAAAACAAAAGAAGTCCTGATACATAGTTTACATTAAATATTTGCAATGTGTGACTATTACCAAGCAATACAATCTGCTGATCTCATTCAACACGCTAAAAAAAAATTTTCTGTGTACTCCTAACTTCAATTCCTCCCCAAGAGAAAATCGAAATTTTCAAAAGTGAATTCATCCCACCTCTATAAATTTTTTCCTTTCATTCAAAAACAATTGTTGCCAGCCCCTTAATAGAACTTCTATGATAGAGCTTTTACCTCCCTCCAGAGTAAGATTGACAGTTGGTTGGCTCCACCTCCCTATGACTCCGCCCACAATTTTCCTGACCACACACTGGTACGAGGTGTAGGGCTTTAGATGGGAGATCCACACAAAGCTATGAGACCTTAGAAATGGGAATAAGTGTTTTTACGCATTGGAAAAAAGAAACAAGTATGTCTACAGAAGAAAGTTATAATATGCAGGCTAACACAAATTTCTTTGTATGTGTTGCAAAAATGTAACAAGTATGTTTATGGAAGAGAGTTATAATCTGCAAGCTTACGCAAATCTCAAGTAAAAATTTAGCTAACTTTAGTTTATAAACCCTCTGCTATCACATATGAAATCTGCTTTAATTCTAATGATTTTCCATGAGAAATATGTATTAGAAATAAAAAAAAGAAACAATCAAAGCATAGCTTTTCAATGCAAAATCTGAGGATAAAAGATACTTAAACTTGTCAGACTTATAAAGAAATACAAGACATTTATATCATTAAGAGTTATCTTCCTTATCTGACTATCACTGAACCTTAACGATTAACACAGTGGAATAAGTCATCAATCTTTTTATCTTACGTCTTGACAATGGCCACTTTATTATACGCCTGGTCCGTCACAAACATGACTGGGCGGCAACCCACTTCATATTCCACCCCTCGGGCCTGGTCCCCTGGGTGAGGGGACCACGTCAGCAGGAGGGCGGTGGAGGTCCGATTGGCGACCCTCAGGTTCTGAGGTGGTTCCTCCAGCGGCTCCTGTGAGGTGGCGTACTCCTTGATGATTGGGTCTGAGGAGCCGTGTTTGCTGTCCGCCACCAAGGAGAACTGGTAAGTGGTTTTGTTCTCTATAATACAAGAAAATCAAAGAAATATTATAATTGCGCAACATTGTGATGTTTTGTTCCCCTAAATACTGTACGTCTACATAATTTAGTGTATTCAAAATTTAGCATAATCACTGGGTATGGAGTTGTTGGCGTATTCATAAATTAGCGCTACACATGTCCGCTCAGCGTTTTCTTTGTATATGTAAATGATTTCTTGGTGTTGTTCATGAATTAGTGCATTGTTGTCTGCGCCAAAGCCGCTAAAATATGAAGCCGCTTTTTAAAGTACACATACAGTATTGTCCAGAGTCTGAATTAAATCAAAACTGTAATACTTGTACATCCATCTCACACTAGACGAAGTTGCTGGCAGTACATGTAAAATCTTACCCAGGTTTTTGACTTGGACCCAGGACAGGGCCGGGTCAGTAATATGGTGTGTCTGGGGCCCCGTACTGGTCCCTGACAAACTGGTGACCGTCAGCGTGTACCCCGTGACTGCCTCCTCCCCTGTCGAGTGCTGCCAAGTGACATTGACTGAGCTCGCCGAGATCTTGGTCACCAAGATGTTTGAGGGTGGGCTTGGTACTGTGTCATTCACAGAGGCTAAAAATAGATTAGGAATGTTGTAGGCAATTTTGGAAAATACAATGTTAACGAGTAATTTTAGCCTCACTTTGAAACTACAAATTGAAAGTGATGCAATTTGAATTTTTTCATAATTTACACACCTCAAAGAAACTCCTTTCTAACACAATTGTGTTTCCAATATGATAAGTAATACATAATTATATTTATTCAAAAATTAAAACCAAATGATTTTTCTCCGATCGTAATTCTCTGAAATTCTCAGAAACATTTTAAAATGGACTCTCTCAACAGGACATTCCCTTGACCTCCCTTGTAACATCCTTACCATTAGTGTGGCCAGCTGTTCTGTACTCCACCCACTGGCTGTCACTAGGGAGATCAGGGTACCCCATCTCTGTCCCTGCCTTCACTCGGATCTTGTACAAGGTGTTGGGTTTTAGTCCTACAACAGATATATTTATACATACCTAAATACAGGGTTTATAGAATAAGATTGACATTGGACGTAAGAATTTTCATACAAAGAGATATTAAATGGAATTAAATGTTAAATATTTCTTACAAAACAGAAAATGGAATTAAATATTAGAAATTTCATGAATTAAACTGAAATAATTAATAACAATTTTCTCATCAAATAGAAATGGAATTAAATAAAAAAAAAAAATTCACATGAAACAGAAATGTAAGTCAATATTAGAAATTACACACAAACAAAATAAAAATTTTCATATAACATCAGATTGGTGGTGCCAATATTTACCTGAGATGGGGTGACTATTTACCTGAGATGAGGTAGGACCTGGATGTGCCAGACACCACCTTGGTGATGGTGCGCTGGTCGGCGGCCCTCATGTACTCTATGAGGTGGCTGGTGATGACCCCCTTCCTGTCCTCTGGGGGCAGCTCGTCCCACTTGATGTTGATGCTGTTAGGGGTGGTGCTAGCTACTGAGATCACCGGCGCTCTACTGGGCTCTGGAAAAAATGTGATTAAATTCTGTGAGCTTTACCAGAATATATATATCTTAGTCTGGGAAATTTTTTTTAAAGTCAATTATGACAAATTGTAACTTTCTATATCTACGATCTTGATAATTTTTAAAAGTGATGCCTAGTTGTTGTTGTCTGGTTGAGTTATGACTTGGTATATATACTGTCATGACGACTTATGACTTGGTATACTTACTGTCTGCGTGGGTTGTAACCGTGACAACTTGTGACTTGGGACCGGGCCCCGTGTTGCTGTACCCCCTGATGTATATGGAGTAGTTGGTGTATGGCTTCAGTCCCTCTATCTTGGCTGATGTTCCACTGTTCACCACTATACTTTGTATCTGTTTATCTAAATAAAGAATGTTTCTTAGTGTAAATGTTGCTTCATTCTCATGCAACAAACCTTAATGATAAGTTAAGTCCTAAATGATCATGAGAGCTGCAAAAGTTTTAGACCAAAACATGCTAAATTTTTAGATGATCTTTCAAAATGGATTCTCCTGCTTATTTCGAATGATAAAGAGGAAGGAAAAAAATCTTAAGAAAGAAATACTTAACAAAAGTGCAGTTTTCCTATTCAAACAATTAAATTTTTTTAATTTAATTTTTTTTTCAGTTTGCTCATTTTTTTTTTTTTATGAAAAGAGCATTTTATCCTCAAATTTCCACAACACAGTGTCTGCCTTACTAGGATTATTGGACTCTGCTATCTCTACAGTGTAGGCCAGGATGGGTTCTGTCAGGGAGCGGGAGTGGTTCCAGTAAACATTGACAGTGTTCTTGTCCATCGCAAAGGCCGACACATTCCTAGGCAGGTCTGGGGCTCCAACTGAGGGGAAAAGGAGAAGGAATAAATTAAAATTATTCATCACAACATGTACTTATTGTTTTCCGAACGTGACAAAAAAAGAAATTAAAATTATTCCCCATGATGCCATCATCACATGTGCCAATTGATTTCTTGCATCCGAAAGATGTTGACTTGAAATTTTATTCTATCCAACAGTAGAGAGTAAGAGTTATCTCTCTTTAAAAAGTCTTGCATATATCATATATTTTTCTTTTTTTTTTTTTTGGAAAAGTCATTAAATCATGCACATTTACTTTTCATTTTTTGAAACATATATATATTTTTCTTTTTTTTTTTTGGAAACATTATAAAAGCAATAAATCATGGATATTTTTTTTCTACACTTAATAAAAATTCATTTTTCCATTAAATCTTTCAGTGAGTTTGATCACATCTAACAAATTCTTTCACACCTTTTTTTTTAATCCTTCATTTAATGGACTGTCTATATTATATGTACTGACCAACACTTTTTTTTCTGCAATACCCCTTGCATTGACCTAATAAAGGTAACCAAATAAACCAAAGCTGTATTCGGTCAATGTCCTAATAAAGCCTCATGCATGTATTCAATCACTCTAAAAGCATTATGACATATATATATTGCCATCTATACACCATGGCTTCTTATTTCAACTGCATAGATGTGTCTAAATTGCGTAAAATTAGATTGTTTTGGAGGTCAGATGCAAAAATGTGTTGCAGGATAAAAAGAAATCCATATTATGAGTCTTGAAATAGTACAATCCTCAGTCCACCTTGGATTTTCAGTAAAGCATGGTATTCTCGACATTACCTAATAAGCATCTGATATTTACACAGATTTTCATTAACGGTTAAAATATATATTCAGGTAAACGTCAGGGAGTGTAGAAATGATCCTATGATAGTTGTGTATGCAAAGAGGTGGAGCTTAACTCATATTGTTGTTGTCAACAACCATTTAAAGTTGCTATTGTTATTTATTTCTTAACCAATGAGAATCTATTCGCCATTTGAGAGACACTAATTACGTAGTGTCGAGAAAGTCACGCCTTCCTGAAAGTCCAAGGTTTACTGAGAATTGTACTATAAGCAATATCTGGCCTCTGACTGAAAACATGATAAAGGGGCTTGGAAAAAATCTTCCTCGGTCACATTTTCTTACCCTCAACCAAATATGGCTTATATTTCAAGACAGTAACCATGTATTTTATAAATATTTTAAATATAAGTACTGACCCACAGAGTGGATGTCCAGTCTGGCAACGGCCGTGTCGTATCCCAGGCTGTTCTCCCCCACACACTGGGTGTATAAAGCACATAAGGCCATGCAAAGTTAATTCCTTGGTTCTCAGGCCTTTTTTGAGAAATATGATGAGGGATTCACCACAACATGTTGATGCTCGGTGATTTGTTGTTTTATTTTATTGATTTAGCAATAAAAAGCACCACCTAAAAAAATAAAGCACATAATTTTTCATGGCCATGCAAAGTTAATTTTCGTGGTTTAATTTTCGTGATTTTAGAGATTCAGAATTTATGTCCTCCATCAAATGTTATTTTTCTCAGATATTACTATTCAATAATTCTTCATCCATGAAATTAAATCCCCACAAACCCATATTTTTTTCACCAATCCATTATAATTTGACCTCATGAAATTATGTGATTTTATAATAAGTCCAATAACAGTTTTCTACAGTGCAACCTTTTTTATACTACATCATCTTCTCTGGCTTATTTCATTATTAATTTTAGCTTGCAGGAAGGTATGATTTTCATGCAAGCAGCTTAAATTTCTATCAATTTTTTAAAACACACAGAAACGTACACTTATATTTGCATAAAAAAATTAACATTAAATAGTAAAACAATTTTGAAACATTAAAAGCACATTTGAACAAAAAAGTTGATTTATAAAATATAAATGACTAATATTTACATTAAAATATTAATAACTTTTAATTAAAAATCATTAAATAGTAAATTTAACAAGCTTTCAGATGATATATACATGTTTACTTACACTATACTTTTTTGCCCCTTGAAAACCTTTGGTGTATCCTTAAAAGCACATTAACAGACTTCGTAAAAATAAAATTTCCCCTCATGTTTACTTACACTATACTTTCCCCCTTCTCGGATTCGCTGACCATTGAAATACCACGTAACATTTGGCTTGGGATATCCACCAAACTCACAAGAAAAACGAGATGTTCGGGTCTCTGGATATTTGAAATTACTTGGTTTTGTCAAAGATACTGGTTTTGCTTTAAAAAAAAAATTAAAATTATAAAACATTCATACAGAAAGTACTTTATGTCTAACTGCAGAAGAGTCACAATTTAATCAAGTTGGACTCAAATTCACATTAAAACCTGTGATTTACTGTCACTGTACAGTGAAACTTGTCTAATATGGACATGGCATGTTCAAAAAAAATAATTTTTTATTCATGTATTAGAAAAGCTTCTCCTGTGTTAGACATGTTTTTACAAGTTTTTGCTGTATTAGACAAGTTTTTGCTGTATTAGACATATTTTTACTGTATTAGACACATTTTACAGTATTAGACAAGTTTTTACTGAATTAGACAAGTTTTTACTGTATTAGACAAATGAGTTGTAGATTGAGACTTACTCATGACTTCGAGCCCTGACTCCACTGACTTGGTGGGGTAACCTGCACTGGAAGCAGAGCACACATATACCCCTGCATCATCCACATCTACGTCAAACAGCTTTAGGTTGTCTCCCACTAACTCTGAGTGACGGTCACGAAGGGGTTTCCCATCTAAAAATAAACATCCAAAGTATAAACTACATCAATGCATGTAGAAGAGTACAAGATATGGAGACTTAGTAGAACAATTTTTTTTGTCTTGAAAACAATGGAATTCTGAGGATTTTGAAACATATTGTTCAATTTTTGGAAGCTTAAAAAGAACTAGAAATATGTCCATTGGACATGAATGCCCAGGCCAGGGTCCATTAAAAATGCAACAAAGGTCACCTGAGCATTATGAACAACTTTCCAGTTATTGAAAATTTCTAACTTAAGCCAGATGATATATGGCATTCACAATTCTGAAAGAGGCCCATTGATCATCATAACAGACACTTAGCAGTTGCTTAGCTTGGTTACAAATACCCATACGCAGGGTAGGGGAAGCATTCCAACTAATCAGTAATATTCAGCAATAATCAATAGTGCCCCTAACACTGTGACATAAACCCCTATAGGTCCACACATTGCACAAATTTTAAAAAGTTAAAATTGCATCAAAAAAAAATAATGTTTTATAAATACAAAGGAGCAGATTTCATTCAATTAATTCATTTTCAACATTTAACTTGTAGTTTAGGCAGTGATATTTTGGACAGAGAAGAAAATTTTCAAAGATTTAATGTACAATATAATCAGTCATCAGAACTGGGGCCATTCCTTTCCATCATAATGTGTTGAATTTTTTAGGAGCAGAGAAGAAGATGATAATATATAATCAAACTAGCCCTGCCTTAACACCAGAACCCCTGGGGTTATGTGAAAGGCTCTTGCTCATCATAACTATACACTTAGGTTTATTTAATACCTAGGAGCAGAGAAGAAGATTTTCAAAGAATTCATGTATTTTTACTATATAATCCTTCTCTTAACACCAGAACCTTGGGACCATAAAATTTACAATTTTGGTGACCATGTGACCTAGGAGCAGAGAAGAAGGTTTTCAAAGAATTCATGTTTTCACTATATAATCAATAGAGCTCCCCCCCCCCCTCAACACCAGAACACCCTGGGGCCATAAAATTCATAATTTTGGTTGAGGCCCTTTCATCATAACTATACACTTAGTTAGTTTATTTAATACCTAGGAGCAGAGAAGAAGATTTTCAAAGAATTCATGTATTTTCACTTTATAATCAATAGAGCCCCCCCCTCCAACACCAGAATCCTTGACCTGTAAAATTCACAATTTTGGCTGAGGCTATAAATATGTACTTGGTTAGTTTATTTAATACCCAGGAAAAAAAGATTTTCAAAGAAATAATGCATTTTCACATACATTTTAATAAGCTGAATTTCACTATTTTGGTAGTGGTTACAATCATGCACACAGTTTGACTGCTTGATGTCCAGGTTATTATTAATTTTAGTGGTTTTGGCCCCATAGAATATACATGTATAAAGTATAACAAGATGAATGTGTTAACACACGATGGAAAAATACATTCATGAAATCAAAAATCGTGTATTTGAAAAAATCTTGAAAATTTCTCTGGGTGACTCTAAGGGCCCTAAAAGATATTCTTATTAGCATATGAATGAAGTTTTAAAGGGAAAATATGTAACTTGTTTAGAGTTAAACATAATAAAAATATTTATCTCATTCTTTAACAACATTTAACTTGTAGTTTAGGCAGTGATAGATCATTAAATGTTTTGAATTTTTTAGTCATATTGCCATGGGGTTATGTGAAAGGGGGGGGGGGGGTTAGATAGTCACCTTTGCGTGACCATGTGACCTGTGGTATTAGCGTATGACAAAATTTTCACGAATTGTGGTCATTGCTTCCTATAACAATTCCATTAACATTTTAATAAGCTATATTACATTGTCTCCAGGTTATTAATAGAATATACATGTATAAAGTATAACATATGAATGTGTTAGTTGAAAAATACATTATGAAATCATCGTTATTTGAGGAAGTTTAAGGAAAGATATCTCCATAAATATAATGGATTTAAAAAATGATGTCTTAGTTGTATATTTTTATATTTTGGCTGTAAATACTGCAAATTTCTAAAATGTTATCAAATTGGATTACAACTTTTTATCTCTTTATGTGATATTTAAAATTGCGAAACTTTGAATGAAAAATTAAAATCTATACAGTTTTGAGTCAAGAATTTTGGGGGAAAAAATTTGTTGATATCATCTGTCCTTAAAATGGGGGGTCCATATAACGTGTATTAAGAGACCCACATTTTAATGTCTTCCACCAAATGTTAAAATTTTAATCATATACTTGTTCAGTCACAAAGTAAATCCCCATGAACCAATAATTTTACAGTATATCAATGGCCCATCTTCAGCAACTTCTTAAATTTTTGTTTTACTCCCAACTCCTTTGACAACTAAGTAGTCTGTAATTGATGCAATCTCTTAAAACTTTCTGATTTTCACTTGATAGTCAATCTTTTTAGCCATTAAAAATGTTCACTTACATGCTACACTCAAAATTTCTTTCTGAAACATCCTCTAATTCTAAAAATATTTCTCTCCTCTATTATTTTCATCTTTGCCTTCCACTTAAGACAATAGATACAATGATACAATCATGACCTTTTTCCCTGGAGTAGGTTACCCACCATAACCTTTACCCTAAATATGCTGCAGCACGTATCTTATCTTGCCATCTGAACACAGAGTTCATGAATGCATTCACACCTTGGCATTTCTTCATCTTTATAATCCTTGACTTACCTGGCATAACCCTGAGACTGCTGCATATCTTTCATTTTCTCTATTTCACCCTGAGCTATCTGCCATATCTCCACCCTGATCTACCTCTAGTGACCCCACCTTGACCTTCCTGACATGACCTCACTTGACCTTCCTGATATGACCCCAACTTGACCTTCCCTGTGTGACCCTACCTTGGCCTATCTGGTGGTACCCCACCCTGACTTACCTCTAGTGACCCCCACCTTGACCTATCTGGCATGAACCCATCTTGACCTTTCTGAAATAATCCATCCTTAACCTTCATGGCATTAACCTACCTGACCTACCTTGACCTACCAGGCATGACCCCACCTTGACCCACCTGACACAACCCCACCTTGACCTACCTGGCATGACCCTGAGAGTAGCGGCACTGCTCCCCTTCCAGGGCAGACTTTCCACCTGATCTGGCAGTTTGTGGAGCTCCCCCTGGGTAGCAGTACATCTGTACTCCCCGGCGTCGTCAGATGTCACATCCAGAATCTGGAGGGTCCCCGACGGCAACATGATGTGTCTAAAAATAGCAACATAAACTTTTAGTCAAAGAGTTCCCAACAGTTTTTAGATTTGCGTTAAAACATAGCAACGAAATATTAACCAACAAAACTCGAGATTTTAATGCTTTCACAATATATTTTTGAAGAACTATATATTCTATTCTTGACTTAAGAATATCAAGATTTTTTAATTTCATATGTCTAACAAAACAAAAACAATAGACTCCCCAATGTAACATACTAAATTACAAGATGTCAGAAGAATATTAGAAAGAGATTTAGAGTAAATGCAGAGTGCCTACTATTTCTAGTATTGCTACTTTAAAAATTGCCTTATTCTAAGGAGATCAATTTTCAGTTAGCAAAAATGGTCAATATATACTCATTTTAAGAATATAAGCATTATAAAAATAGGAATTCAAATTTTTTCACTGGGAAGGGAAAAACAATTCTCTAAAAAAAAAAAAAAAATCAGGATATCTAAATAAGAAAAATGTCTCTGAAAATAAAATACTGAAATAGTGAAGTAAATGACATTCTTCAAAACCATTTTATGTCAGTGTTTTACTGTAATAAATTAATAAATAATACATATTTCTATGGCAATAACAATAGAACGAAATTCATCGTTACTCTATGATTGCAATAAATGTTACTGCAACATCTGGATAAAAGCTATAATAAGCAACTTTATTCACATAAACAAAATAGATTCTAGGAAAATGATGATATAAAATATCTCCCTTATTAAACCTCAAAAACAATAACTACTCTGTTCTCTTTACTATGTATGGAAAACACATGAAAGAAAGCAAGAGGGGGGCTGTCATTATTATAATAATTATTCCCCCATGGACCCAAAAAACAGTCTTCAAAATCAATGGCAAAGAAACGCTATAATATTTCCCTTTATTAACTCTTGGTACATACAGAGCCGATATAACAAAGGAGAAACAAAGAGGACATCGAATCAATATATATACACATAATCTGTGTCATCTCCACTATTCTGGGAGCTATACCCAACAGTAATTAATATTTCATTAACTTTAATTTGAAATCTCTCTCTCCCAATCACTGATTCATGTTGCCCGGGTTTCCAATTTCTGTTGATAATTATAGACTGTGTGTGTGGGTTTTTTTAAAAAATAATAATTACAGACTTTGCTTTAATGATCTTTTTTTCTTCATCCTCGGTGCCTATAAATTTCCATACTTATGCCCTTGACCTAAATTTCAGTATCGTATTGTCATTCTTCTATAAACGTGATAAAGCAATGTAAAGATGGTACAGAAGATTTATTCAAGTTGCTCATTTTCTCTCATTTGAAGCCGTTTCCAAAAAAGAAATCTCCACCCTCGATCTTTACCTTTCTTTTCATAAATAAAATGAAAGAATATTTGTAGTTGTAAATGTCAGCACTTTTTCCAAGAAATATGCAAAAACATTGTTGTTTGCTTGGACTTTTGGGCTCAATTTCAACAAGGGCATAAAAATTAGGATCAACAAGCAAGGGTAAGCTGTGATACCATGAACAACCAAAATCTTTTTCTAGGACATCCTGTGTCAGATTTAATGAATGACATTGGAATGAAATGTATCCTTTAATTATCTGCAATTTACCTTTAACAAATGTTTAATAAGTTTTTTTTCTCTTTTTATACAATAAAAAAACCCCATAAACTCTTCAGTGTCCCATATTTATTTGACCTCCAACGAATAAAAAACAATTAATTAAAATAATTAATAGCTAGGCCAATTCATCTTGGTTAGAAAAAAGAATCTGCTGCCTTAAGGGAAACACATCAATAAATGTCACTTATAGGAGCAAAATCATACCCGATTTACATCTGAGGTTTAATTAAAAAGTAACCTGATTTTTTTTATGCAGTTTATTAGTCAAAAAAATGTTATTAGAAAAAAAATTATGATTAAAATTTAACTGAAGAACATCTTTACTCTTTAGCAAAGCATTCATTTATTTTTTTTTATGACCCACATATCCATTTTTCCCAGTGTCACAGGAATCTCACAAAATATCAATTTAATAGCATATTTTTTCCAGATTAGAAGGACAAAATTTTCAGAAAACGTATTCCTGGGCATGCAGGCAAATTTACATATCTCCAAAACAGAAGAGTTACATATTTACTTTTTTAATTACAAATTTTTAATTACAAGAATTGTAAAATGTAAAAATAGACTCTTGAAACTGTAACTATAAACTTCGTCATGTTCATATTCCTAAAACTTTTCAAGAATGTAAAATAACTGTATAAGGTTGTATTTTCCAAATTTCACCAAATTCTGTGGTTAGCAAATGGACAAGTATAAAGTTGTTCAGCTAAACAGATACCACTTCTGATGTGAGAGACATTAAATTTATCCATAAGTTATTCAAGTTCTGGAAGATGGGAATTTTTTTTTTTTTTTTTTTTTTTTTGGTTTAATTCAAAAATCCCAGTTCTAAACAGCTGTTGAACAACAAGAAATCATCAAATTAGGATATACATTAGGAATGAAGTAATGCTGAACAACACAAAAACCATGTCCTACTTGTCATTCAGGAAATTAATTTTAAGTAACAGTCTAAGCTGACTCTAGACAAAGGTCATCTTAACTGTGCTATGATCATTGGGAAAAAAAGATTTTTTAAAATAAAAAATAGCCCCGTTTTTTTCTTCTTTTGTGCATAAAAGAAAATAATTCAGAGAAACCATAACTGTTTGATTTTAGGATTCATCCCCCCAAAGTAATGAAAAAAAGTCTTTGCTTAATCGGCTAAACATTTTTGCAAGAGAAATCTGTAAGAACAATTTAATTACCAATATAAACCTTATGACTGCTATCTTGCCAAAGCTTCAACAGACTAACAGTACAGAATTTATATTTTACTTGAAGCCTTACACACACCCTAAAAATGTCTTTTTTATACTATTTTTAACTCATGACTATTTTGAAAAAAAATCTTGGTAATAAGTCCAGCAAAATTCTGTGTGTTTCAATGATATCTAAAGGCAAAGTTTAGATCCAAATATTTATCTTTGGCCTACTATAATGCCTTCGGACCCACAGAAATTGCACCCACCCCCAAACTTTTTTTTGACAATTTGAATATTTTTTTTTTCAGGATATTGAAACTGTTTCATCATTTTTTTCTTGTTTCTCGAGTATGAAGAGACTTATGTCTACCATAAAAGGGAAAATTTCATTATACATCCCTACTCAAACACGACTTATATCCCCAAAATCAAATCTCCTCAAACCCATTATTTTCTCCTAAAATACCCAAAACAGACTTTGACCTAGATATTCTTATGATAAATCTGTATATCTAATTTCATTTAAATATGTGCAACTTCTGCAAAGAAAATGAACAGAAACTAATCCTGGACCTACAGACAGACAGCAGCAAAGCAATATGCCCTCACTTCTTCGAAAGGGGGGAATAAAATTAACCCAATGAAAATATGGGATTTTTCATAAACTTTACCTGGGACCCGGACGAATTTGTTTCCAATCATCCTTCTGCCACATGTAAATAGGTGGAGGGGTGGAGTTGATCTGGCAGTGGAACCTGGCCACCCCTCCTAATGGAACATCCTGAGACTGAGGTTCCTCTGAGAAAGATTTAGCTATACCTGAAAAGATAAATCAAAGTACTGAAAGTATTGAAAACAGGGCCTGAAAAGACAACCAGAAGTCTCTTTCGAGACTGAAGCTCTACTGGTTTGTACTTATAGCAAAGGAATAGGAAAGTACTTAAGCAGTTGGGAATTGAAACTTTACACTAGCAAAAAAGAGAATTATGATCCGTGAATAAGTCTCTTTATGTTCTTAGTGTAGTCTACTTGCATGCCACATTATATTATAATCAGACTAAAACTGAAGTAGCATTTTGAGAGTAACAGAAATTGCTATCTTTATTAAGCAAGGTAATAATGTTCATTGAAGTCAAAAACGGATATAAAGAATTATGTACCTTAGTGTAGTCTACTTGTGTGCCAAGTTATATTGAAATCATACCAAAACCGTCGGAGGAGTAGCATTTTGAAAGAATTTCACAGAAATTTCTATTTTTAGTAACAACGCCAACATCGTTCGTCGAAATCAAAAACTGATACACAGAATTATGTATCTTCGTGTAGTCTACTTATATGCCAAGTTATATTGAAATCAGACCAAAACTGTAGGAGGAGTAGCATTTTGAAAGAATTTTACAGCAATTTCTATTTTTAGTAACAATGCCAACACCGTTCATCGAAATCAAAAACCGATACACAGAATTATGTATCTTTGTGTAGTCTACTTATATGCCAAGTTATACTGAAATCAGACCAAAACTGTAGGAGGAGTAGCATTTTGAAAGAATTTTACAGAAATTTCTATTTTTAGTAACAATGCCAACACCGTTCGTCAAAATCAAAAACCGATACACAGAATTATGTATCTTAGTGTAGTCTACTTGTGTGCCAAGTTATATTGAAATCAGACCAAAACTGTAGGAGGAGTAGCATTTTGAAAGAATTTCACAGAAATTTCTATTCTTAGTAACAACGCCAACACCGTTCGTCGAAATCAAAAACCGATAAACAGAATTATGTATCTTAGTGTAGTCTACTTGTGTGCCAAGATATATTGAAATCAGACCAAAACTGTAGGAGGAATAGCATTTTGAAAGAATTTCACAGAAATTTCTATTTTTAGTAACAACGGAAACACCGTTCATTGAAATCAAAAACAGATACACAGAATTATGTATCTTAGTGTAGTCTACTTGTGTGCCAAGCTTTTTTGAAATCAGACCAAAACTGTAGGAGGAGTAGCATTTTGAAAGAATTTCACAGAAATTTCTATTTTTAGTAACAACGCCAACACCGTTCGTCGAAATCAAAAACCGATACACAGAATTATGTATCTTAGTGTAGTCTACTTGTGTGCCAAGTTATATTGAAGTCAAACCAAAACTGTAGGAGGAGTAGCATTTTGAAAGAATTTCACAGAAATTTCTATTTTTAGTAACAACGTCAACACCGTTTGTCGAAATCATTAACCGATACACAGAATTATGTATCTTAGTGTAGTCTACTTATATGCCAAGTTATATTGAAATCAGATCAAAACTGTAGGAGGAGTAGCATTTTGAAAAATTGTTTACAGACAGACAGACAGACAGACAGACGGACGGACGCCGGACGCATTACTATCGCATAAGCTCTTCTGGTCTCTGACCAGTAGAGCTAAAAACAAAAGTGTTTTTTTTTTTTTAATGAGGCTTTTTTTTTTAAATCAGTACTTTAAGTTTACAACAGATTTTAACCAAAGAGAGAGAGATACGGGGGAATAACTGAATTTAGTATATATGTGGATGTACTGTATACAGGGAAATTTTTTTTTAATGAGGCTTTTTTTTTAAATCAGTACTTTAAGTTTACAACAGATTTTAACCAAAGAGAGAGAGATACGGGGGAGTAACTGAATTTAGTATATATGTGGATGTACTGTATACAGGGAAATTTTTGCCTCTGTTTCAATTTTGCCTCTTTCGCTCTAGCCTTTTGGGCGAATTTAAAAGCAGGCAAATTCAATGTATACAGTATAATTTTTAAGACAAAACTGTGACTGGGCGAATTTAAAAGGGGCAAAAGGTTTGCAAGTGTGAAAGGCCGAAAATAAAGCAGGGTGAAAATAACCTTGCATAAAGTGTTTCATAGATTAAATACTGTTAAATTACTTTTTATTTGTGAAAACCTCATGTACTTGTAATTACATGAAACAGTCTCCTCAAGAATATTTCTTTCATATTTCTGATATATAACGATACCAAGAATTCGTAAGAATTTTGCCCTGCTGGATAAACACCACATACATATCTCCGAAAATAAGGTGTCGCAAAAATTTTATGATCTACATAAGTTCAGCGGTAAAGAGAAAATTGAGTCAATGTACAGATACTATGCATTCTCCTTAAATAAATGGGAAATATGGCCTTAATCCATTACAATAAATATGTCATACGATTTATCTACTATAAACCGTTAATTTAGTTTATCGCTGAATCAATATAATTATCGAGAAAGAAAACATTTTCGTATGGAGCAGAATTAGTGGGAATTATATGACTGTCAAATATCAATGTCCCCTAATTAATTTATCTTTAATTAATAACAATTTTGCTTCTGAATCATAGAACTCTGTATATGTGCTAATATAAATGGTTTGAAATATTATATTTCAATAGAAATATTCTACAATGCAGTTTTATTTTATTAAGAAATCAATCAAATCATGCAGACTCCATTTTATCAACTCAAATATCTCTACACTTATAGCTATGAGAGGAGTCTCAATATTTGTGAAAAAAAAATTCTGGAAGGGACAATAAACAAACAAATTAACTAAACTATTTCAAATTTCAGCTGTTAAATCCATACGAAAGCAAGGCCCAAAAAATTGATAGGTTATCTGCCTGAAATAGCATAGATAAGAATATCTTTCCTTAAAAGTTAAAAGGAAATGGTAAATTAGACAAGTTGGAATTTCTGAATTAGAACAACATTCTGCATAAGACATTCCCAAAATACACAACATTTTCAACAAATGAATATACTAAAATGGACTTAAAGTAAACATTGTACAGTATAAGCAGAGTTTTTAGTGAGGATTTAATTCTGGCATTATTGGCAAGGGTGTCAAGAAAGCTAAAATTGAATATCGATAAAAATTAATTGCTCTTTATTTGTAATGGTATTTTTAGTGAGATTTTTAAAATTGCTAAAATTACATCTCACTAAAAATAAAATACCAATTTTTATGGACAAATCGCTTTTTTTGTGTCTCAATCGCTAAAATTTCCACTTATACGGTATAAGGCAAGAATTTGGATTATTCACCATCTGGATCAGACAAGTTTCACTGTAACAGTGTATTCATATATTATATATATGCCTATTCCTAACACATATTTTGTGCAATTAACATTTACAACCCACTAAGATCCTTACTTCATTAATTCTAAAACATGATCTGTATCGATTTCAGCTTAGGGTTTCATACAGAAGCATAAAAAAAGATGTAAGTCATTCTCAAGGGGCTCACAAGTACTTGTATATACAATACATACAGTAAAGAACTGCAGTGAATGGGTTAAACTCTTACTTAACCTTATCAATAGAAAGAAGAATGAAAGAAAACCTTTACATGATTTTTTTAGCCAGAAGGTTAACCGTTCATGGTCAGATATTCATACTGTAAAAAAGTTGGTTTCCAGATGATCTTTTCTTGAGGTCTTTCAGTGACATTTTTTAATTATAAATCATAATTCCCAATTTGACTTTAAACAAGAGGCCCAGGGGCCACAGCGCTCACCTGAGCACATCGGCTAGGAAAAAGCACATATCAGATCAGAACTGAAAGCAATTACTAGGTGATGGTGGAGCTTGATTGAATCTTTAACCCCCCAGGGGTTCATGACTTGAATAAGAATCTACACTACCTTAGGATGATTCCATATAAATAAACTAATAATGGCTTTGAAGTACTTAGAAGATTTTAAATATATTGGTTTCCCAATATATCCCTATGTAAAACTTACACAGAATTGGCCATTTTGTAGTCCCCACCATGCCCCATGTTGTATGATTTGAACAAAACTGAATCTTCACTTTGAGGATAATTTCACATGAGTTTTATCTTTCCTGTCTCAATGGTTCTTGAGAAGAAGATTTTCAAAGATTTTTCCTATATCTTCCTATGTAAAACTTGGGTCGGCCATTACTTGTGTGCTAAGTTATATTAAAATCAGAAAAATTTGAGGATCTAGTACTACATTTTGGAAAGTATTTCACATGAAATTTTATTTTTAATAACCTGGCCCACCTTCATCGAAGAAGATTTTTAAAGATTTTTCAGAATTCCTTTGTAAAACTAGGGTATTGTGGCCCCACCCTGTGTGCTAAGTTATATTAAAAACTCAGTCTACACTATAAATGATTCCACATGAGTTTCGTCTTTCCTAACCCAGTGGTTCTTGAGAAGATTTTTAAAGATTTTTCCTATATATTCCTATGTAAAACTTTCTATTTTTAATAACCACGGCAACACCTTCATCGAAATTTGAACAAACTCGAATTTACACAGACCTCATGATTCCACATGAGTGTATTTTTCCTGTTCTTGTGTGCTAGAAGATTTTTAAAGATTTTTCCTATATATTCCTGTAAAACTTGGAGTAGCATTTTGGCCCCACCCTTGCCCCGGGGGTCACAGAAATTTCTACTACCTCAGTATTCCACATGCATTTTCACTTTCCTGAAAGTGGTTCTTGAAAAATCGATATTTTAAAGATTTTTGTATATTCTATGTAAAACTTGTCTGCTTTTGTTGCCCTGGGGGTTATGATTAAAATCTTGAATCTAACTACCTTAGGATGCTTCCAGTGAGCATTTCCTGGCCCATTTCACAGAGAAGAAGATTTTTTTAAAATGCCATTAATTTTTAACAAATTCATGTTATCATCCCCTTGAAAAGGGCAAAAATTCAATATACAAATTAATCCCCTTTACCCAAGGAGTCTACTTGTGTGCCAAGTTATATTGAAATTGGCCCAAAACTTCTTGAGAAGAAGATGAAAATGTGAAAA